CAAAATAATTTTTTAATGTCACATTAGCATATTGAATATTATAAAAGTAATTAATAAATTTGCCATGCACTGCTACATCRTATTTCTGTTACACCAACTCTGTTCCAGAATGTGTATGTATCTTTCACTTTATATTATGTGCCTTGGTCTGATCAGCTATGAGGGTAATTGTGCCTCTCACCTTCAAGCACTTTTAATGGTTACCTTAGACGCCATGTGCCTTACTATTTAACATAGACCAAGTACCAGCCAGTACATAACACTTAGCAGCTGTACCTACTATATCCATAATACATTTTGCTTAGGTTAGCATAAAAGTTATGTTACTGCTTGATAGGTGTCAAGTGCAGTCTCTGATCGTAGTTGGACTGCTCAGAGGTAGTTGCCAATCATTAGCAATTAAACTTGTTTTTATGTAAAAGTTTGTTATTATGGGAGTTTGAACATATGACATCCTTGCTGCTAAATTTGTGTTGGCATTGATGATAATATTCAAAATCATACCATTATTTGAATAAATGCAGTGCTCGGTGGATAGGTAACCATGGTTTCTCTATTGGAATTGATGATGTGCAACCTGGAGAGCAATTGATCAAACAAAAACAAACAACTATTTTGGAGGGTTATCGTRACTGTGATAAGCAGATCAATTTGTTCAACACAGGAAATTTACCTCCTGAAGCTGGCTGTGATGCTGCTCAAAGTTTGGAGGCTAAGATAACTCAAATTTTAAACGGTATTCGAGAAGCTACTGCAAATGTAAGATTTTGATTGTTGAGTTCCATTCTTTATATTACAAGCTCTGTCCTCTAATGTCAATGATGGAACTTTCAGTATATGAAAATGAACACATCCGTGTACTGACAGATACACGGACCTTTGTGTACCATCTAATTAAGCTGGTGTTTGATCCTGAGGAATTAATGTAGTTTGTTTTTTTTTTAATAATAAATAATTTCACTGACGTGTAAAATTTCAAAAGGGGAGGTGCTAACCCCACAAACTAAAGGAGTTACAAGAAATTTCTCCAATTGGTCAAAAGTGAATCAAAACTGAGTAAGAGAGAGATGATAATTTACACCTTGATAGCATGGAAAATAATGTTATCAAAGAGTCCATCAAAAGAAAGCTCTGTTCGGTGAAAAGCCTACGATTTATCAACCAAAGGAGCTCCTTTTCTTTTATGAAGGGATGGCCCATGAGAATGTATGTGAGGTCTTTGGTGCCAAAGGGTAAAGCCACATTCAATCAAAAGACAAGAATCTCATCCCAAAATTTTGATACAAAGGGGAAAATATGGAAGATGTGAGATTGAGACTCCGCATCACTTTTACATAGAACGCACCAATGTGGAGAGATGGCCATGTATGGATACCGATGTTGCAATCGATCATTCGTATTCATGCCGTKGCGTGCTACCTTCCAAATGAAGAATTTTATCTTTTTTGGGTAGTTGTCATCCCAAATAGTTTTAGGAAGAGTGGGGGGGTGTAATTCTTCTTTGTGCCCATGTCTAGTCTAGGAGGAGAGATTTGGTTGAGAAGATACTCTTATTGTCAAGCTTCCATATCCAAAATCATCAGAATGGGTGAGGTGGACCGAGGCAAGGTGATTTGTAAGCAAAGCCCATTCTTCAATTCCAACATCTTTAAGATGCCAACAAAATCTCATGTCCCATATGCCAAATTCATCCTATTTTCTGTTAGGAAATAGAGTGAAGGTGAGGGAAGAGGGTAGTCAATGGTGAGACCGGTAGCCAAATATAAAACCAGAAAGAAGTAAAAGCAGCGTTTCTGACTTAGAGGATACACATTCATGRACAAGGTGTTGTTGCCTCAGAATATTCTTCCATGGAAACTTTCAGGTCAKTGTAGGCAAAGGAGTTCTGTGATGTAGGATCTTCCAAGGGGGAAGGATTCTGAAGGTTAATGGGTGCAGAGGACAGCACATCTTTATATGAAGTGGTAGGTGGGTTAATCAGGGGTGGTATGGGAGTAATAAAGGTGGTAGGAATGAATGTAGTTTGTTAGAAGCTTATATCATTACTTTTTAATTTTCGTTTGAGGTTTGTTTTATCCATGATTGTAGTAAATCATGTCTGTTATTCAATCCACCATATTTAATCTTGGCATTTTCTTCTGCAGGTGTGTATGCAAAACTTACATTGGAGAAACAGCCCATTGATTATGTCGCAATGTGGTTCCAAAGGATCTCCTATTAATATTAGCCAGATGATTGCTTGTGTTGGTCAACAGTCAGTTGGGGGCCGCCGTGCACCTGATGGATTCATAGATCGGAGCCTTCCCCATTTTCAGAGAAAAGCAAAAACTCCAGCAGTGAGATCTGCCTCTCTTTTTCTTTGGGCTTCTATTTGAAAAACTTATTTTTGTAAGACTGTTTAGACATTGGTAAATCATTTTTGTTTGAATCAGCCGGTAGCCAATGTATTTAGGATGGGAGATGTTGGAGGTAAGTTATCTTTAAGGGAAAAATACCAGTAATTTAGTCAATTTAAGAAGAAAAGTAGGACAGTGGAGCATTGTTCTTCCCATGAACCTTGAACTATTACTCTCTTGTAACCTACTGATTTAAAGTCACCACTAGACCCAAAAATTTGTTGTCTGGCTTAGATAATTTTAATTTTTTCATCAGGTTTTAACATTTTCTTCCACATGAGGGTTTGAATATTAACAAAAGGCCTAACATGTGAACTTCAAGTGTAAAATAGGGGGGAAATAACATTGTAGGGGTTTGAATTTAAAACTTCTTKTATTGTATGTTATGTTAAATCACCTGAAGTGTAAGATGTTGGAATATTTGTTCCTTTCAATGTATCAATGAAAAGTTAGCATTTTGTTTTTAAAAAGGGAGAATGTTATGTTAAATCACAAAAAGTATAAGCCATTTGGCTAAGATAGGTTTGATTGTATTCAATATAGTTTGAATAGTAACTGATGTAGTATTCTGTTGTTATGATAAGACCTTCGTTTAAGTTCTAGCTTTTAAACCTTATTTTTTTAGTTAGTTGTTAGTTACTTCACAGTAACTAGTTTTACCGTGTAGTTAGTTGGCAACCAGCCTCTATAAATGGAGGCTGACCTCTTTAAGAAAGGCTATGTAAAATTCTCTTCAAGAAATCATTGTGCTTGTGTGCATCAGTAGCTACCATTAAAAGGGGAGAAGTGGAAAAGGAAAAAAGTATTGCATCCGAGTATGACATCTAAAATTCCTAAGAGTAAGGGCAGAAAATCTTCCATTATACTTATCTCATATAATGTTAACACTGCACCTCAACATATTTCTGTCCTTGTTTAAAACCAAGTTATTCATATCTGTGTCTAAGGTGGAATTGACACAACATCTATGGCTACCAAAGTTTCCCTGATTTAGCTCCTTCATCGAATAATTATGTAATAACTAAGTGGTTACATTTTCTATTTTATGTAACATAGTTATATTATATGTTTGAAGTAGTATTGATTTTTAAAATAAAAAAAAAACATTTCTTAATCATAATGCAGGCCAAAGGCTTCGTTGCAAATTCCTTCTACAGTGGCTTGACAGCAACAGAGTTTTTCTTTCATACTATGGGAGGACGAGAAGGCCTTGTGGACACAGCGGTAGGTCTATTATAACCTTTCAACAGCTTTATAATTACTCAATATCTATGGGGAATTTAGCTTTATGTTTTCTTTTTGTTTTCTGTCTTTTTTTATTTAAATGGGAAATAAGAAGTTCAAAACTAAGTGAATCAATTACTCAATCGGACGTTGACCCCGATTATGTCATTATGAAGAGAAAGAATATCCTTTTTCCTTTGATATGTTCCCAAATCCTTGAATGCATCAATTTTAATATTGGTCTGCCCTATTAGGTGAGGTCCCTGCCCTTCCGGGTTTGAGAACATGTTTTCCCATCCGTCCTTCAAATTGTCTTTTTACACTTGGTCGAATGCTAGGGAAAGTGGGAAGGTTTTAGGTTTATGAGGAAGCTATACTCTCTCAAGTTGGTTTTGAAAGAGTGGAATCAAAATGTTTTTGGAGATCGTGAAATTAGAAAGCTGGAGATATTGGATAGAATCAAGTTCTTGGATGGTTTGGATGAGGTAGAAGCCATGAGTGAGGAGTTGAGTGAAGAGAAGGTCAAAGTGAAAGGGAACTTTGAGGAACCTATCCATAAGAAGGATGTTTGATGGTGACAACCAGCTAATTAAAGCAAAGAGGGTGATCGTGATTGTAACACTTCTTTCTTTTGCAAGATTGCAATCTCTGGGGAGATAATTTTGTTGAGGCCCTTGAAGTCGATTAGGTGGTCGTTTCTTTCTTCTCTTCCCTATTTCTATCCCAAACCTTTTGTTGATGTTTTAGATTGGAGTTTCATCTCTGCTAGGGATAGGGAAGAGTCGGAATCTCCCTTTTTCTTGAAGGATATGAAGAGGTGATCTTTGGTTTTGAGGGTAATAAGTTTCCTTGGCCCAAATGACTTTTTTTTTTTTTTTGCTTTTTTAAAAGAAAACTAGTGGTTCATAAGAGAGGATGTTTGGAAGGTGATTAGCGAGTTTCAKGAGGCAGGATCATTGATAACACTATAAATGAAACTTTTGTGTGTCTCGAGCATGGAGGGGTAAGGATCTTTTACCTATAAACATTTTTAAAAGTCTGGATAAAATTATTGCGAAGGTTTTGGTTGATAGATTGAGAAGGGTTTTGATCAGCATAGTCTCAAATCCCCGAGTGGCCTTTATTGCAGGGAGACAAATTATGGATCAAATTTTAGTTGCAAATGAGGCTATTAAAGATGGTAAGAGCCGTAACTAGGAGAGTGTCATCTTTAAGATCAAATTCAAAAAAGCTCATGGGCTACATAGATTGGGATTTCTTGGATACAGTCATTTAGAATAAAGGCTTTGGATTGAAAGGAAGATTATGGATTTGGAACCGTAGTAGGATAGTTAAGTTCTCTTTTCTGATTAATGGTAAACCTACGGGTAGAGTTCTAGCTTCTAGATGCCTTAGGCAACGCGACCCTCTCCCTCCTTTCTTTTTCCTATTAGTCATGGATGATCTTAGCAAGGTAGTGCCTACTGGGGTAGATAAGGAGGTCATTACAGGCTTTTGGGTGGGGAGGGAAAGATTTCATCTCTCACATCTTCCCTTAGGTAGGGAATTTTTTTTTTTTTTTTTGGGTTAACCTTAACCACATTTTGTCTCTCTTTGAATCATTTCTGGCCTTAAGATTAATAGAAGCAAGAGTTTAGTCATAGACATCAATAAAGAGTCCACTAAGATTCATAAATGGGCAGGGGCATCTTCAGTGGGTTGTGCTGTGGGTACTTTTCCGACCTCTAATCTTGGTCATCACCCCAAGTGAACTTTGTTTTGGAGACCCGTCGTGATGTAGTAGCTAGCTGATTATTTTACAGCTTTACCATTTGATTGTCAGAGGAATACCTTTTGTTTAGTTAGTTTAGTAGTTACTACACAATAACTTGTATTTACCGTGTACTTTCATAGGAGGCAGCCTCTATAAATAGGCTCCTCTTCATTAATAAGAGATAGATTTCATTATTCTTCAAGAAACTAAAGTGCAAGTGTGCATCAATATTATATTAAACTTTTGAGATTGGGCAAATCCTTGAGAACTAAATTAGTGTTAGAGCCTCCTTAAGTAATCATTAGGATTAGTCTTGAATTTCTTATGGAATAGGTATAGAAGTACACTGTAGGGATGAATTTGAGATTTGTTAGTGTGAAAGATGAGTAAGTGAAGTTTTGAAATGCATATCATTGAATGATACTTTTCAGGTGAAAACAGCCGACACTGGCTACATGTCTCGTAGATTGATCAAAGCATTGGAAGATTTATCCATTCATTATGACAGCTCTGTACGAAATGCTGGTGGATGTATAGTTCAATTCTGTTATGGGGATGATGGAATGGATCCAGCGCAAATGGAAGGAAAAAGTGGAGCACCTTTGAATTTTGAGCGATTATTTTTGAAAGCTAAGGTTTGGAAGCAAATCTCATATGCTTACTTTTTCTTTTTCTTGTAAAATAGGTGCTCACATTTTTTTTTTTTACTTCAGAATAAGAAAAGTATCATTTGCATTTGTACAGGCTACATGTCCTATCGATGGAAACAAAATATTGTCTCCATCAGAATTTTCTGAAACAGTAGAAGATAGGCTCTCAAAAAATGATGCTACTCCGGAGGGGGGTTGCTCTGTAGCATTCATTGAATCTCTCAAGATTTTCCTCAACAAATACGTAGAAACACARAAAAGAGCATGGAGCGCATTGTTGGCAGATAATGAATCAGATGCAGGAAAAACAATCATTGGAAGTTCTGAGAATGATAACATTGTGATTCGGAAGAAGGTAGTCCAAAATATAGCTGGTGTCACACACAGACAACTACAGGTATTAGGCAAAATTTTCCATTAATACTGTCACTTCATTTTGTTCTTCCAAGGATATTTCATTCGATTGCTCTTCCTTTTAACATGATATAAAATTTTCATTGATGAATGGAAATTTAAAAAAAAAACAAAAAAAACAAAAACAAAAAAAAAACTCCCAAGCGAGGAAAAGTGTTAAGAGATATATAACGAAGATAAAAATAAAGGAGCCATTTGGTAAACTATATAGAAGAAATAAAAGCATCCAAGAACAACAGATAATACTGGGGGAGAAGTTCTCAAATAATTTTGAAAGTGAGCACCATTGGGAAGCCTCGTGCTATATCAAAACAATCTAACCATTCCGAGCTCCTGCCATGGAAGATTTTTTAATCCTTTCAAACCTAAACTCTAACGGTGCGAAGTCTTGGTTTCATAGATTGTTTTTTGGGTATTTGAATTTAAAGACCCAAGTCAGTTTACTATATTTTTCGCGTGAGAATAATTAAGTTTTAGCATGAGAATCATTGAAATGTACAAAAATAATATGTATCTAGAAAATGTATTTTATAATAAACATATCCTTGACGTGATTCTTGCCYTTGTCCTAGATTTTTAGAAATTAATGTGTAACTGCGTTCGTGTTGTGTCTCGTGTCTCTGTGTCCTTGCTTCTTAGATGCCTTTTTTAACCTGTTCGTTTTCGCCTTCTCAGCTTTATTTTTCAAACATCTCATTTCTTTATCCCGTAGAAATGGGTTTGTCGATTCCACCCAGGGGATGGTGGTCACTTCTGTCATGAAATTCTTCCTTCGACCCATGAATGTACCTGGCAATCACTTAATACTTAGTTTTTGTTTTTTTGGCAAGATTTGTACGTGTTGAGCCTATACCACTCCATCATGTACTGGATTGTCTCCTTGCTGGCAATCTTGGTAAGTTTCGAATAATTGTTGCTTAAAATTAATCAGTAGAATTCGTTCTTTCAGCAGGCTCTGCATCTTTGGCAATGACTAATTTGAGTTCTTCCAATTCCTCTATGATTCACGGTCAATGAATCCCACCATGCAGCAACCCTACTTTCAATTTATAGGAAACCTTTTTAACTTTTCTATGCTCAGTACCCCCTCATAGTCGAAGAAGTCTTCCAGTTGTTGAGAATCCTCCCAAGTTACATTGCATGTCCTTTTCTTGTATTCTTGAAATCCTTCCTCTTCTGAGTCACTTGTGGTGTCCTCTGTGGATTATTCTGAGTCATTTTCTTGGATTACTTTCTTGCCACTTTGATGTTCCTTTCTTGCAGTCTTCTTCTTGTCACTACTGCCTTGATGAACCCAATGGAAATTTTTGCACAGACCTTGTACTTCACAGTTCACAGTTGGGCAGTTTTTTCTTTTAGGATGTTATTCTTTCCCTTGATCGCCAAAGGTATTTTGGCTGGCAAAATGAGTGTTGGGCAGTTTGTCTTTTAAGGATTTTTTTTTTTCCCTTGATCACCAAAGGTGTTTTGGCTGCAAAATKAGTGATCCATGACAATGATAAATACCTCTCATTAGCAAGCCATGTCTGTTCCGCCAGTATTTTTATATTACATGATGGTCTCCTTGTGAATAGGGAATATGATTTTTTCTTCTCTCACTGGGAACTAGTTTTGGTTTGGGATAATTTTAGATCGAGCCTAGAAATCATGTCTGCATTATTTTCTTATTATTAAAATGTGTTTATCTTAGGTTTTTTTGGACACCTGCTTGTCTCGCTACCATACAAAAAAGATTGAAGCTGGAACTGCCATCGGTGCCATTGGAGCTCAAAGTATTGGAGAACCTGGGACACAAATGACACTAAAAACATTTCACTTTGCAGGAGTTGCTAGCATGAGTATCCTTTGTTTTTTTACTTTCCATTTTCTTTTTAATGAGAATAGTAACCGATATCTTGAACAATAACATATTCTATACAATACTGGGGTCCTTGGATATTATTGGTGCTTCTTGTGATCTTTTAACTTGTTGATAGACGTTACTCTTGGTGTTCCCCGGATCAAAGAAATTATAAATGGAGCCAAAAGGATTAGCACACCAATTGTCACTGCAGCACTTAAGCATGATGATAATGTGAATATTGCCCGRATGGTAAAAGCTCGGATAGAGAAAACAAATCTAGGACAGGTATATAGTTTATTTAACTTGGATTATGCAACTCTGATGTTATGCATTTTTGTTATTAATTCATCAATTAGAAACCTCACCTTATCATTAATCAACTGTGTATTTTTAATTCTTGATTTTGTACAAACGATTAAGATTTTACCACGTGGCTCATCTTTATTAAAAATAAATGTTGTTCCTCAACTAATAGTTTCACTATTTTCTTGGTATTATTCTATTTTCCCTTCAACAAGTGTGTGTGTGTTTTTTTTTAACAAGATACGAACTTTTCATTGAGAATCAAAGATACAAACTCCATTTAATGTCAGTGGTCTATCAAACTTGTCCCGAAGACATTTAGGAGGGGTTTTATTTTCTCCTCTTTTTGTATCCAAAACAGGTTGATTCTAACTATCACAAGAACATTTTATTCACGGGAACTTCAGAGGAATAATGAAATAATTCTCTGTTGACTGTATACTTACTGTTATCTGGCATATGGAGGTTCTTACCCACTTTAATCCCTATAACATTTTTGTAGTTTTTAATCTATAAGGAGTAGATAGAAAGTTTTCTTAGTATACATTCTGGGACCTCCCGGTTTTCATCTTGATTGATCATTCTTGATGTCTTGCCTTTGATCAGATTGCAAAGTGCATACAAATTGTAATGAGTTCCAGATCAGCTTTAATAGAAATCAAACTTGACATGGAGAAAATCAGAGATGCAGAACTCTATATAGATGCCAATGTTGTAAAACAAGCAATTCTTCTTACTCCGAAACTCAAACTGAAGCATGAGGTGAGAGTAATTGTTCATTCTTTTTCTTGTTTGACTAATTTCAAGGTTCCTTTGATCTCAAATACCACATTATTCTGCAGCATATTAATGTTTTGGATGATAGAAAGTTACGAGTTCTTCCTCAAGACGCAGATAGGAGTAAACTTCATTTTAATCTACACTTCCTTAAAAACATGCTTCCAATAGTCGTTGTAAAGGTGAGTGAACCAAATTTATTAATCAGGATAGACCAATTTTTGTTCTTTGGTTTTTTGACTTTTAGGAGATATATAACTAACTTTATTGAATTGCAGGGTATAAAAACTGTTGGGCGTGCTGTCATCAAAGAGGAAAAGGACAAAGTAAGAAATGCCAAAAAGTTCAGTTTGCTGGTTGAAGGGTTAGTTTATGACTTTTTCCTGCTTATTTGAATTGCCTGTTACTGTGGGGAGGTTAAAGAGCTTCCAACGCAATTTCATTCCCTTGTTTCATTGTGGCACACCCCCACAAGCATTTTGTACGTTCTCCAGAAAAGAGGAAGTGTTGAATGGTTCTTGCGCCCTGAGGCAATCAAATCCCATTTTTACTTTTAACTTTTAAGAAGTTTCAGGCTAAAATTTCACTACCCTTTTTACCCCAATTCTATTTTGCAACCTTTACTTGATCTAGCCTCTGTATTCTCATCTCTAGAATCCAAATTGTTTTTAATGRCACCTGTTCTATGAATAGGGGAAGACAGCTTCTCTTTTAGGTGCTTTTAGCTTATTAATTTCATAGAAGGCCTTCAATGGATGAGTTCCTCTCGATTTTGATACTGTTTTTAATACCAGTTGCAGTGATTTTCTAATGTCTGCAAGGTCCTTAGTAGCCTCTTACTCCCAACAACTATAGGGGAAAGGAATAATAATCTATATATATGTTATGTTATATCGTTTTGCAGAACGGGACTTCAAGCTGTTATGGGCACGGAGGGAGTTGATGGATGCAGCACAAAGAGTAATCACATCATTGAAGTGCAACAAGTACTCGGAATTGAAGCTGCAAGGAAATGTATTATTGAAGAGATAAAATATACCATGGAAAGTCATGGAATGAGCATAGACATACGTCATATGATGCTTTTAGGAGATTTGATGACATTCAGGGTAAGYTCTGTGTTGGAATTAAAAAAAAAAATATTGTTAATTACATGTGTGATGTATAGGATGAAGCAACAAATGTTTCGGCTGTGTGACAGGGTGAAGTTCTTGGAATCACAAGATTTGGCATTCAAAAAATGGACAAAAGTGTACTGATGCTGGCTTCATTCGAGAAAACCGCTGATCATCTTTTTAATGCTTCGGTAAACGGAAGGGATGACAAAATTGAAGGAGTCAGTGAATGTGTAATCATGGGCATACCGATGCCACTAGGCACTGGCATGCTAAAGGTTAGACAAAGGTATGAATCTACTCCTTTTCTTATAGAACAGACATCAATTCATTTTATATGGTAAAACGATGCTGTTACTCAACCATACTGTATTCTGACCTGTAGTCAGGTTTAGTAAGCTCAAGTTTCCTTTTTGTGAGATTTGATATCATTGGCACTGTCTTATGCATACTTTCTTAATGTCTCCAATCCTGATTTGAAGTTCCAACATTATGGTTTAGAGTTAACATAAGATATTCTCAAGGTTATCAGAGAGTTCAGAATTGACATGAACAATTAACCAAGCATTTTTTTCTTTTTTTTAAACAGAGCTTCTGTGCCACAACATCTGCCTTATGGACCAGATGCAATTCTATCTTGAGTTCAACAAGTAAAGTATTTTATATAATGTAATAGTTAAAACGATTTATTTGTTTTCTGCTCAGTTTCAAGGAGTTACTTTGTGATAAATATCTGTTCAACAAGCTCATCATTTTGTTGTTTTGCAATCAGGTATCGATGGCATTCAGCTTTTTCAGTGATCAGGGTTTGTATATAGTCGGAGTTATAGGCCGTATTTTATTTATTTGCGTAGGGAAAGTATGTAGCTCACTATCATATCGAACTAGTTGTGGTATGGGCAAAATTTTGACAATTTTTCTTGACAACTGAGACTATCGTTGTTTATAATTGTCGTAATTTGAAGTTCTAAAGTGGTTGCAGATTCTTGTTGCATCTGTGGGTATTCTTTGTGAGCAGTACAATACATATAGAATGGAAGCGAATCACCATTGTAGTCAGATCTTTGTCTCTACGTTGYAGTCTTAAGCAAGGTTTAAATATCATTTTTAAAACACCGTCAAAAAGAATTTAAGTTAATATATATATATATTTTTAGTACAACATGTGAGAGTGGGGATTCGAACTCACAGCCTTTTCGTTGGAGTTATATGTCAATTACCGTTGAGTTATGTTCATTTTGACAAATTAAGTTAATAATTTTAAATAAGTAATAAATTTCTTATTGTCAACATTTTTCATATTATTGATAATTTGTTGATATATATATATATAATATATATATATATATATATATATTTCTTTTTTGTCAAATCTTTATGATATAAATGAGATGTTAATTCACACAGTGTTAATGGAAATATTGACATGTGGACAGAAGTTCAATGCTACAATATTAGCAACATTTTCTAAAAGTTAAGAGGGTCGTCCAAAGAAATAAGGCTTTTAAACCGCACTAGGACGTGTGTGCACTTGCACCTAAGCACGCACTTCAGTGTGTTTTAGCAAGGGAGTTTCATATCAAAGCTCCCAACTTTTCTTTTGTCCTTTGTCCCACTTTTGTCCTCCCACTAGTGATTTTTTAATTTGAATGACCTTTTTTTTCTTTCATAGAGAAATTCAATCATCAAAATCAATAAAATGTATCATGGACCAAGATCCAAATTGATCAGCTTTGTTGAGACGTACTGCCGAAGGAAAGAAACATATTACTTTTGGATCTAAGGATAATAGGAACAAGATAAAACAAAACTTCAATMAAAAATTGGGGGTAGTTCAAGAGACAATATYGGATGTACTAGCACCTASGGAAGTTCTGCACCCTAATCTCCTTTGACACTTCGAACAGAAATTTAAACGTTAGTAATGCAGCAACTACATGAGGAGCAACTACATGAAGAGTGTGAAAGAGGGCTAGTGCAGTCTTTACTTTCCAGAAATGAGAAATATGTATTTGGACGTAAGGTTCATATTCTTTCTCGGGACCTCTGAAAACTTTGATTCCAGCAAATTCCATAGTAGAGACCTCTCCGACAACCCCAACTTAATCCAATTTGTTGCGCGTTCAGCCCTTTTGGATTCATCAGTTTTACTTTTGTCCTCATCCTCATAAGCCCTTTTTGCTCCTATGTTTCCAAAATTACCTCTAGCCTCTGACCCTCAAATTAAATGATAACAATTTCCTCCTTTGGAAGAATCAGCTTTTGAATGGCACTACTGTCCATTGTAGCCTAGTTTCGGCCAGGGATGATACCATGTTATTTTCTAGTCTATTTTCTACCCTTCCGTAAAAAAGAAGACTGGTGACTTGTAAAATAGTGGTACATGTAGCAAATGTTTCATATTTTATTTGTGCTCTTGAACTTTAGGATATGTTTCATCTATACAACATTGTGATCTCAAATTTGAAACTTGAAAAATCACCACAAGTCTCTTCCTATTGTGCATCTCYCGGGGACATTTCAATTATGTCCTTATCATTTAAATGTTTCATTTTAACCCTTAACCATGGAAATTGTTTCAGATCAATCATTTCATTATTTTCACCGCTTAAAATGAAGATGGAAATATGACGTCGTGGTGAGCGGTAGAAAAAAATCAAAGAGTCTTATTTGTCACATTCGAAATGACGTTATATAATTTTGGGGCCAAAGAAACGAATTTTGGGATTAGGTAAAATATTGTTTCCTCCTTCCAATCAAAAGAGAATTTTTTTTTTTTTTTTTTTGAGGGCTAAGTAGATCACAAAGTTTAGATAAAATTTGGGACATCCATCTCACAAAAATAAATGTTAGAGCATGCATGGAGGAGAGGAAGAGACAAGCAAAGAAATCGAAGATAATCAAGCCTAAACACCAATGTTTGTCGACATATTTTTTACATTTGAGGATGAAAATTGTCTTCCTTTGTCATTTAGTCTTGTTCTTTGTTATCATCGTAGCTTTCATATACTCATCGACCCCACTCTTCCACAATTTTTCTCTCATAAACATATTCATTCCATGCACTATGAAGCTTTCTGTTGAGGTCTTTTCTTGCTTGACTTTTCCAGTATTTGAGTAAAAAAGATTGTGATTTTTACCAATACATGATTTTTTTTTTTCACAATACGTGGCTTCCCACATCATTTCAACCCAAAACCCTATCTCTTTATTTCACACTATGTGGCTTCCGCATCATTTCAACCCAAAACCCTATCTCTTTAAATTTGTTTCCACTCTAATCAAGACATTTTTTATGTGATTAAAACACTTCAACTCTTTTATAGCTCACCATCAAAGTACACTCACATGTAACTTTTATTTCTCAACCAATCGCTCCATTATATGTTCATCTTCATTTTAATAGGAAAGCTAATGAGGTTGGATTGAACAATTCCAAAGATGAAGGTTAAAATGAAACTTTTAAAATGATAATAGCATAATCGAAACCTACCCTAAGTTAATTTAGAGACATATAATTGAAACTTGTCGTCTATATGCTACATATACYACTATTTACGAGTCACCCACCCAGTCACTTTTCCATCTTCATTTTAACATAATAGCATACGGAAAGGTAATTTCGAAACTAGTTTAAAGTTTCAAGGTAAAAATAAAACTTCTGCAAAGTATAGAGGTATTATTGAAACTAATTACCCTAGAGTTGGAGGTATTTTGTTTTAGTTTAACTAGAAAAGAAAAACAAAAACTTGGTTATTTGAATTGAAGAAGAATAGTTGATTTCTTAATGTCGTGATTACAATAATTCATCACTTTTTTCCATGATCTCTGCTCTTGGTAAAACAAATAACAAAAAAAAAAAAAAAAAAAAACTATTGAAAGTAATGAAAATTTAGATTCTATAGAAGTCTAGGTTGGATTTTTCTAATTAAATGATGATTTGGAGATAGCTATGATTGATCAACTTCACTAATTTCAGCATTCCGGCAGTTTCCCACTGATAAGTACATTGTGGATGGCTTATGTGATGGAAGAACTCTGCAACAATCCCTTCTTGGCGACTGCATATCAATATTATATATAATTCAAACAAAAACAAATTAGGTGAATAAAAATGTCGAATATTTTCCGTGTTTTCTTTCAATTTAGTCCCTGKTGTTTAAAACTTTCAATTTAATCCATTACATTTTAACGGTAATTTTCAATTATATCTCGTAAATATTAAATTGATGATAAACTTACCTGACATAATACATAGTGAGTTCGGTCAAAGGAAAAGTCCAAATTTTGCTGACATGCTAGAAATTTGGAGGACAATAATTAGGAATTTTCCACTTATAAGTTTAAKTCTTTCGGTATGCAACCTCACTTATAATGTCATATAAAGCTTATCATTAGTCAATTTAACATGAAGTAACGATGAGTCAAATTATAAGTTTTGTTTTGAAGTTTGTCCAATAGGTATTCTTAACTTAAAAATGTATTTAATAYATCTCTGAATAATAAATTTTTTAACTTTCAATTTTGTGAATAAAAGATCCATTTATAGTTGTCAATTTTTTAACAGGAACAGGAAGTATGAGATATCTACTTACTGGCGATAAACACCTAAGTTTTATTTTAAGAACTCATCAAACACTCTTCAGAATTGAACGACCTATTAAACATGTGATAAGGGTGGAAGGGTTACCTTTTGCCATCGATAGGGATCGGGCCTCTTCAAGACGACGACGGAGTCGATCTTGTCAGGAGAATTCATTTTCCAGCGACAATAGGGGTGGCGAGACTTATCCCTCAAGTAGACGCCAATGGTCTGCTTCCTGGCCCGAYCGTAACGCGTCGTAGTCATGTAGAACACGAAAGGCTTCTGGCAAGGGTGCTTGGTGACAGGCCTTGTGTTGAAGGCGTAGGCTGTGTAGTCTGCCCTTCGGTACCAATTCAGAAATGTTCTTGTGGGCATCTCCAGCTCTCGAGGGGAGATCACTCCTCTTAGGATTTGAACCACGTACCCCCACGACACCGAGATCGACCACTGCTGCTTCTTGTCGTAGCAGATCGATTGCTGCATTATGCTCGACGAGTCGAGTCTTGCGGACTGGAATAGGCGTTGCAGGGCCTTCACCCGCGTCATGCGTGGAAATATTGGCTCAACCACGTCAAGGTGGTGGAGGGTCAACAAGGGGGTCACTGGATGAGCACCTAGAAGTCCCAATAGATCTCCGTACACGTCGTACTGCATGCAAAAACATTCAAACATTAACGACTAAAATAAAAGCTGGTTTGAATGAATACTCTTTTGGTTTCTCAACTTTACCTGATGAAATCCAGGTTCTCTAGTGAGGGGCACCCCAAGCTCAGCCATACAAGCCTGGATTCGATCATCACTCCCATACAATCCAGGATAGCGCTGAATGCAGCGATCCTGCATCTTCTCCAGCTCCTTAGCCAGCGGATAGCTTATGGCGAACCCTCCCCCACCATAAGCCATGGCGTAAGAGAAGTAAATGTTCTGCACATGGCTCTCCGAGGAGCTCCCAATGTAATAAAATTGCCTATGGTCGTATTTTGATAGAACCCTCACCACGTTCTCCACCATGAACACCGTGTCGTCGTCGCCCATCACGAACCACCGCACCTCCTTCATCCCCATCCTCAGAGTCTCCGACACCACCCTCGATATCCTCACCGCCGACCGCTGCCCCTGCCGGTTCGTGTACTTGAACCGAGAAGTGTCGCCCGAGATCCGCAGCTCAGGCAGCCCCTCGTTCCTCCGCGTCGCCACTCGCCTGTCGAGCCACACCACTCCCCGCGTCTCCTTGGGGCGCCACCACAGCTTTATGTACTCCTTCCGCTTAGCCCACAGGCTGGCGGAGCCTGCAATGCAGAAGACGATATGTTTGAGGTCCGTGTCGTAGCGCTGGGACTTGAGCGGCAGGACCGGCTGGATGGTTTCGTCGGTTTCGACTTCACCATCCTCAAAAAGAGGGAGATTGTATTGGGCGACCGTGGAGATGTTGTGGAGGTGCTCTTCCGTGAAGGTGGGGGCGCATTCTTCGGGGCGATCCGCAGTGAGGATGTTCGAGGAGTAAGCGACGTAGAGAATGAAGATGATGAGGAAAATCCAGACGACGGGGCTTTTGAGTCCGATGAATGTTGCAAGGCGGTGTGGCTGGGAGGTGGAGCGAGACCATGGGGACGACACTCCCCCCTTCTTGTCAGGATCTTCAGTTTTGTTCTTGCTGATGTTCTTGTTTCCCATGTTTGCTTTCGTTCTTTGTTTTTTGTTTTGTTCTTGGAGGGAACACACAGACCAAACACTGATCTGATCTGATCTGATCTGATCTTCGGATCCACAACGTATGTTTTTTGTTTTGGTTTCTTTAATCAAAACATGTGTTGGAAATGGTATGAAATGAGCCGATTTCGGATGCTACTAAAATGGAAGGAAATTGTATACTAACTAATTATAGCATCTTTGGTTTACTACACCAACTTGGTTACGTGGAAAAAATGAGTGAGTGATTAAATATGTTCTCGCTTTAGTTCGATTGATTTGTTTTTTTAATACAACTCACTGTTATGGTGGGGTGTTTATTTTAGTTGAACATAGACATCTTTAACTTGCTGAGTTAAGTTCAAGTTGACAGACAGTTAATTTGATTGATTTGAATGATATGATCATTAAAAAGCATATATTAATGAGGCAACTTAAGAAATTGAAGATCAATATAGACTAAGCATAGTTCAAGTGAATGAGATATTTTAATTACATCAGGGAGTTTTATTTTAAATATATATATATATACACACACATAAATTGGGTCGGGTAAAAAACGAGTCTTCTAAACTACAGTGTAATTAGGACTTGATGGTAAGAGCACTAGGTCAACTTCTAGATCTATGTTGTTCCGACCACCATTGAAATGTTAAACAACTAAGAGAAGGAAATACAAAAACATATATTTCAAAAAAAAATAATGAGCGTTAGTTTTATAATGGCAGTCAAGATAGAAATAAGTCTTTAACGGGTAAGAAACACATATTTTATTTATATCAGCAAACTTACCTAATTAGATATTGCATTTTAATGTTTTTTTTTAGTGCATTTTAATGTACTCTTGTCAATTAAAACTGGTCAAGCTAACAATTTCTATTATTCTCACTAACCAATTATTACACATTAGTGCTAATTAATTATCTATAATTTTACCAATTTATTGAAAACATTACTTCTTTCAACTAAACTAATTGGTTAATTTCGATTCAATAGATTTTACATCAAGTTTTATCAGTTAGAATTAATCTTTAAATAATCAATTCCCATTCAATTTATATACGAGAATTTAAAAAAAAAAAAAAGAAAGAAAAGAAAAAATGACCTTGGATAGGCTCGATATACCCATCTGTAATAGAGATTTCAATTGAAGCTGATCCTAAATACAAAATTTTATTAATAAAATACAATTATTCAATATTAATAATTTCAACCACTTGCACTAGTCTCCAACAACCAAAATTGAGCATAGTTTTAATTGAAAATTGGGGAAAATATTACCAATCTGCAACTGAAAATTAGCAACACTGCAATCTCATGGTTTCTTGTTAAGGAAATGTCACATGTTATGTAACAAAATGCAAACAAATTAACATTAACAAAATATTACACATTGTCAGTTCAGTTCCTAAAGCTTCAAATTAAGTAGTTTTCTATGGCAACAGRCATGCTCGCAATTGAAGCCTTACCATAGCTAACAACAGAAGAGAGGATTGTAGAATTTAAAACRAAAAATCATGAACCCTGTACTTCGAGATCGACAGTATGCTGCAAGAAACTATAAATTATGTTCACTTAAGTCAAAAATAGTGCCGATGTGAAAAGTTCAAAACGAAAAACTCGACCCGATAGTCGATCCTCACATTGCAAATACGCGGATGGCAAATACGCAGATGGCGAACATGAGATGCCACTGACGATGTACTCATGACACTTCTTTATGTACCATATTGAGTAATGAGGCCTCATCTCCCTTCATCATACCAAGAACAAATAGTTAGAATCAAAGAAGCACAAACACTTGAAAGCTTGGGTAACAAACACACGTCGGACACTCCAGCACTTATTGAACACAAATCAACACTTGTTAGCTCAATACATGTGTCACAGTAGTTGTACTAAGGGAATATAAATATTAGGCACATAACACTGGTTAAGTATAAGAAATAGATATAAAGGACAAAAGAATAAATTTGAGCAAAATACTTCACTCATTTAGTTTCACATTTAAAAAATGGTATGGTTTAATAAACCTATCTTTGCTATGTTGTGCAAAATGAAGTGTCACCACATTCATGACGTGYCATATTCGTGTCCGTATCCGTGCTTCTCTAACCTAGAAATATCTTCAGAGATATAACATTCTACCCATCCTCACAGTTTTGTATCCAGTGTTATCCTTACCCATTTGTCCTAAGAGAAATTCTCTCTTTATAAAAGAGAAAATCGAACAAAACGAAAATAGTAGCTCTAATAAAACAGTTGAGTGTATTATATTAACCCAAAAGACAATTCACCACTCACCAAAAATGCCTTGAGTATTGTTCTCAACTTGTCAAGAAAATAGCAGTGGGATTCCCTGGGGATGGAGGATTCTGCTTCAGCAGTGAAACCAGAGCACCAGCTTTTGCAAGGGCATCACTGTCAGATGCACACAATACTTCCACCTCTTCTAAACCTATTTGCCTTCTGATCAACTCCAAATTCTCTTTAAGAACCTCCATCTCCCCAAAAGGAAGCTTCAAATCCAAGGCCTGAACCCCAAGTGCAGCAGCCTCATCCTTCTTAAACCTCAAGAATGGCATACACAGCTTCTGTGTTTGTCTGAAATCCGCTGCCTGCCCAACTGAACTCTTCTGTAGTGCCTCCATTATTTCGCTGTCCGGTGCAAACGTGCGTTTAGTCGAGTCAAATTTACTTCGAAGTATCCTCAAGCATTCTGCTTTCCATCCATCGAATTGCTCATTCACATATATCAAGCCAGTCAATTTCTTGTCCTCGATCACCGATGTGACGGGAGCACTCTTCTTGTTGCCTTTTTTGGATCCTAATAGTTGCTTTTGAAGAAGCTTCCTCATCAGAACTATTGAGTCTTGCAGATATTTGTTTGCACTTTTGAGTGTTAAATCAGGAGAATCAGCCGAGGGCCAGCCTGCAGTAACAACAAATCCTTCCTTCTTCAACATGTCCCTCCAAACGTGTTCTGCATAATGTGGACATATCGGAGTAATAAGTCGTGTCTGCACATCCATGAAACGGAAAACCAAATCACGGTTCATGCCCCCGGCACCACATGAAAACCTATACTCATCCCTAGCTGCTTGGAGATCGTAAAAACCAGTCTTTAGAGCTTCTCGAAACATGTAATCTTTGTAGTGTTGCTCAGTCATTTTGACAGCTATATTGATTTCATTTTCAAAAACACGATCAGCATAGGTTGATGGATGGCCCGTTCTCAAGAATGAAGAAGAATCAGCCTTTAGAATATCTTCCATCCATGCAATTTCTTTCGTCAAACGTAATATTGCAGCATTTGCAGTCTCAAAGACAAAATTTGCATCATCAACACCATCACCAGCATCAGCCAATGAGAATCGTGTGGCATCAGCAGAGAACTCTTCGATTGCCTGACGCAAAGTTCTAAAATTCCCGGTCGACTTGGACATCTTCTCAGAGTTGAGCATAATGTGCCCATTACATCTGAACCCACGTGGCCAATGGTGCCTTGGCATAATTGCAGTATGATTGTAGATAGAGAATGTCAAGTGATTCTGAATAAGATCTTTTCCAGAAACCCTAAGATCAAAAGGATACCAGTACTCAAATTCCTGTTTCATCTGCTTAAGAATTGACTGTGAGATGCTAGATGATTTTGGTTCTGCAGCACCACAAAAGATAAAATCCCACACTTCATCAGTCATCTGCTCGGGTTTTATTGCAGAGGCACCGGACGCATACATGTCCCCGTTATGCAAGAAGTGAGCAATGGTGTAATAAGCCATGTAAATGGTGGAATCAGATAACGACTCAACTAGAAATTGTTCATCCCAAGGGATGCGCGTTCCAAGGCCGAAACTTCGTGAGCATGCCCACTGGTTGAGCCAACCCAATGTGTGCTCAAATCCATGCCTAGTCTCATCAGAAAACAGATCCATGTTGGCCAAGCACTCTTCAGCCAACTTCTTCCATTCTGATTCCCCGTATGTGATGTACCTGTTAGGAATACCATTATAGTAGAGATTAGGAAGAGTCGGTAGTTTATAAAAAATAAATAAATAAACTAAAGAGTTGCTTGTAAGAGACAGTTACCATTGATCGGTAAGAGCCACAATGCACTCATCTCCAGACCGGGAGGTAACTCGCTTCTCCGGTTCACTATATGGAATAGCTTGGCCAGTTTCAATGAGCTTGCTCCGAATCAAAGGCTTTGCTTCCTGCACTTTCCTTCCAGCAAATTCACCGACAACCAGTGTTCCATCAGTAAATCCTCTCAAATATGTCAATCTTTTAGCTTCAGCAAGCTTCTCCTTCTCATTCTGGCTCTTGATTTTCAGATCCAAGCAAACTTTTTCAGCAGCCCTGTCTCCAAATTCTGGGATATCAATAATAGGCACAATATCAAAGGGAAGAACCCATTCATCTTTAACACCATACTTGGCCCTAAGAGCTGGTTTTGATTTTAAATCATGCATGGCCATATAATCATCCGGGGCATCACTAGGTACACTGGTCACAATACCAGTTCCCTTATCCGTGAGAATTGTAAGCATGGGAAGGGCATAAATGATCTCATTAAAGGCCAGAGGGGACTTCAATGGGAGCCCTATCAAATCATTACCAGTCAGACGAATCAAGCATGTAGGCCTTTCAGGGACCCTAGAAAATTTCTGATAGGCTAGGTTAAGGGCTGCTCGTTCAGTAATRATAAATACATCAGTATCATTAATTTCAAATGCTCCATAGTTACCCTCAGGTAGTACCCATGCATTTGTTTGACCGTACATGGTCTCAGGTCTCAACGTTGCAGCAGCCAAATACACTTTTCTACCCTCCAACACTCCAATTTTAGGAGGAAAAGGTGGCACAACCTCCATCTTAATGAGAGTGTAATCTTGTGGCTGAACCCCTTCCCCAGATGCCCTATCATGATCGGCGCAGGGTTGGCCATCCAAGGGCGAATATATAGTATATCTTACATCTTTCACAATCTTCCCCATAGATTTCAACTTCCGCATTTGCCACCGTACAAATGAATCGAAAAATGGAT